CCCCCCCCCCCCCCTACCAACTCTAAAGACCTCAGCTCAAGCACAAAACTCAAAAGACACAGGTTAGTCTGGGTTAAAAAGTAATATGAAATGATTGAAAATAATACCCCTCAAAGGCCATGCTGTAGCACCTGGTGGCCAACCAGAAGTCCTCACCAATAGCTCTGTAAAGATCATGGCATGATTCAGCACTCCTAATCTGCAGATTGTAATACAAACGTCACACTATTTAAATTTCTTATTCAATAATTCAAAGAAAACGTTATTCTAGAGAAATATTATAACATAACTGAACACAGTAGGAAATAACATGAGTTAGAAAAACTGCTTCTTGTTCAGATGGATTTGGGGTCTGAGTTAAATTCCTTGGAATTAAATTACAATATACTACATGAATGATTGTGAATTAAATAAAAGATAAAAGCACATTTGAAATAACGGGAATTCACACAATTTCAAGAATTTGAGAAAATCCCATGGGCATTGTGCTGACACATGACTCAAATTTCAGGAATTGGGATTTCCAGGAATAAGGAGCATACATCATTCTCGAGAATAAGAGTACTCCTAGCAATTGAGTGCCTATCCAAATGAAGCCTAAATTTGAATTTTGCACAATGTGGTGCAGTGTGAGAAAAAAAACTTCTTGCAAGTTATTAAAGCAGCAATATAATTTTCGTGTTGTTTCATTTGCTTATCAACATGGTGAAAATGATCATTCTAGAATAAACAACACATGCAACTCACCTCCTCTAACTTCCTATGCTCAGAAAGATCAAGAATGTTGCTATTCTTGTCAAATACATACTTATTCTCCTCAATTACTGCTTTGGCAGCATTCAGTGTTCTGCATGATAAAAAGTGTCAAACGCTTCTGTAAAAGGATCAGCACTTGGAAGTAATAAAAGGTGCAATTAAGGATGGCAGGGACAAAGTGAGTATCACAACGCGTCCCTCCCACTTGGGGCGGGTATGTGTGATTTTTCGCAGGTGGTAGAACCGGTATGGACAAAACGTGTACTAGGGTGAGTATGGGTTTGAACTCTCTGCCGCCGAATCCCTACCTGCCCCATTTCATCCCCACTTGTCCCCGTCTATTATCCACCCACCATACTTCCACCTAGAGGTGTTAAATAAGTCGGTCAGGTCATGTTTGGAACTTTCAGGTTTGGATTAATCCAGGTTCGACTCGGTCCATGGCCCAGAGGGATCAACCCCCAATGGATGTGACTGTTGTTTATAAAATATTTAAATGTAAACTAGCACATGTATTGTGCATAATAAATGTAACAAATCATTACAAAATATTGGTCTAATACAGAACATATTACTCCAAGGCTAGCAATGTTGTGGCGAGTGTGGCAGAACGCCATACCACCTAGGCAACGGCATAACAACAGTGGTCCGTTCTACAAATATTGTCTCATACCATATCTAAAAACATTTGTCTAGTTCATATTCATTCTTATTTTTCTTTATCTAATATCAACCACTAAATTGCAAATTTTTGATTTGTGTGCCACTACTCTATGCCCCAAAATTAGTGGGACAAAGGGAGTATAAATTTATCAAAATCTTTTCTATTGTAGTTTTTAAAAAAAATTTAGAGTAACGCGAAGTTATTATAGAGAAAATACAAGTTTTAAACATATAAAATGTGCAAAAGACTAATGCAACAATAAAAGTAATTTAAAAATTGGTTAAAAAAGAAAATAGTATACATTACAATGCACGAAACATGTTCTAGCCGAACTGTAGGGGTTAGGTCACCCCTTCATGTACGTGTGTGTGTGTGTGTATACACACACACACACACACATATATATATGGGCTCGACTCCAGTCAGATGACACCGTACGGTAACCGGTGTAAGCAAATGACACCAGTAGCACTGGTGTCATTTTTGACTTACTATATATATATACACACACACACACAGAGAGAGAGAAAGAGAGAGAGATTTTGGTTCACATGAGAATGAGATCTTATGAAAGAAATAAGAATGAATGTGGTGCTTTAGAATGTGAGATCTAAGTGCCATAAAAATATGAAAAATAAGAAAAAATTAGGAAAAATGTGGTGGCAATTCTGTAATTAAATCAAACTTTGTAAAATGCACTACCTGCTTTGAAAAATGCACCATAACGAACTACCTGCTTTTAAAAATGCACCATTCTCATTTCTTTCATCAAGGTCCATTCTCACAAGAACCAGCCCCTACACACACACAAACACATATTTGTGTGTGTGTGTATATATATATGTATGTATGTATGTGTATGTATGTGTGTGTGTGTGTGTGGGTGTGTGTGTGTATGAAAATGAAAAGTCACGATAATGGGTCGGGTAATTGATTAATGGCCTAATGGGTACCCAAATGAGGGGCGGGGCGGGTATGGTATTAGTTTTGTATCCAATAGAGTACTTGTGGATGCTAAAACTGATTTAACACATCGGTAATGGGTAGATTGTGGGTATGGGTATGAATTACCCTACATCCACCAGCCCATTTACATAATTACATCCCTAAATGCATTACAGACATACCTCTCAAAATGTGGATAGTAACGGACCACCTTAGCTTGCCCGAGAATGAGGGGAGTGTGAGACCCAAATCCAGAATTGAATTTCTCACTGTGGACAAAAATGATCTCATGAAAACCAAAGTTGTAACAAATTCAAGAGAGAAAATTCATTTGTCCACATGAAGCTGCACCTAATTCCAGGTAACAGTCGCATTACTCAATTTCATTCAGGAATCTTTCCACTAATTTGTCCATTAACAGTTGGGACTCAAACATATGCTCATAATATGATTGGGAAAAAAAGTGAAAGAAAAGGCCGCTGTAGAAACATTAATGCCTATACTATTCAATACTCAACATGAAAACCTAAAAGTAAAAATAACAGAGTAGGTGGAGTTTTATGAATTTACAATTTTTGTCTGTCCGGTCAAAATTACACAGATTTCTCACCTACAAATACACCTCAACCAAATTAACCCTCAATAGATAAAAGTTGCATAAAACAAAATATTAAACCCAAACAAATATAACGAAATAAGCCCAGTATATCCCACACAAATAATACCTAACACTAGCAAACTTAAAAAGAATCGACCCTGTATTTATCAAGGAATGTAAAGCAGCACATCTTTCTACAAACAAGGGGTCAATATTCAATTAAAAAGTGATTAGACCGTTCTAAACCTCATGTCTCCTTTGCACGAGCTAAAACTTAAGAAACATCACAGCCAATATTTCTTCCAATGCAAGTAAAGGGAAAAAGAAAGCAGGGTTTTCCGTACCTTAACTTGTTTATCCAAACAACTGGATCACAAGGTTCAGATATTTGTCTCCATTTAACAGCTAAAGAATACAAATCATGCCACGACATCACATGCCGTCCAGCTGGTCTGTCATCTACTGATCCATATGAAGTAGATGTTTCTGAGAAACTGCTAGTGCTACAACCAGCACCACCTCTGTTTCGACTAAGATGAAATATCCTTCCCTTTCTCTGGGACCTCTTGCCACTTTTAGATGCTCCTTTACTCAAATGTTTTAATTCTACATGCATAGCACGCCAAACTCTTGATATTTTTTGTGCAATCTCAATTGCAGCCAAGCCAGCCATGCGATGCTGATAATTGAGATTTCATGGGAAGGATGATTTTAGAGAGAGAAATGATTCATCAATGCACAGTGACAAATAAAAAAGCACAAAGATGGGATCTCAAATGGTTGGACAATAACAAACGTCTACTTCCAGGTGATGCAACTCTACCACACAACAACCGAGTTGGAGTTTAGGGAGGGTGTGTGAACGTAGACCTTACCCCTACTTCAAAATAGGGAGGTTGTTTCCAAGAGACCCACAGCTCAAGTAACACAGACAGCACAAGCTCACAGAAGACAAAATAAAGAACAAACTAATATTAATGAAGAAATTGCACAACAAGCACAAAGCACCAAGCATAAAAAGCACACAGCAACAAGGCAACAAGGGAGAAAACTACCACCCTCCCCAAAACGCCTACCCAACTACCCTAATCCTAACTCTTCAAATATTCCTATCTATGGTCATATCCTCAGTAAGGGCAAAGTCTTAGATCCTATCTAATCATCTCATTCCAACTCTTCTTAGGTCTACCCCTTCCCCTACTCTCACCGGTCGCCACCAGCGTAAGCCTCTCACGTCTGCACTCGGGCCTCATTAATCTGCCGCCTCACATGCCCAAACCACCTCAACCTAGTCTCCTGCAGTTTATCCTCCACAGGTGTCACTCCTACCCGTCCTCGAATAAACTCATTTCGAATCTTATCTATCCTCGTCTTTCCACTCATCCACCACTACATCTGCATGACTGTGTAAGACAGGACCAGATCAAAGCAAAGTAGAATATTTTATTGATATAAACTGTACAGGAATATTTGTGTTCTCTAAATATAAATAGAGATCAGACCAACATGACTTTTACCAACCAACACAACTATTACAAACCAACACACCTATTAACAATAGAAACTACCCATAACTGCCTTTTAGAAACTGCCCAACTGCTTTTTTATTTAAATTAATTAAATATGTAAAACACACTAAACGACACCACACTAATTGACTCTATACTAACTGACCTGAAAATTGACTCATTACCCATTCGGTTATATGTGAACAAACCTGATTAAATCTAACAATCACGCCCTTAATCGTTGTTTGTTCACACTAATCTTCACAGCAACGTTGGTTCATCATCTTCAATCAAATTTGCAATCTGTTCCTTTTGATCCCATTTTGTACATTCGTTAAAAAAATGCCCTAACTCATTGCACTTGAAGCATCTAACGTGACTCTTATCCCGCTTTAACCAACCATCATCCTGACCCCCGACCTCTACCTCAGCCACGTCCAAAGTCTTCTCGATTTAAGCTCCAGCAACCACAATGCTCACATTTGTGCTCCCGAACCTTCTCTTTTCCACCACCTTTAGTGAAGAGTAGTTTACCTTGCATATCTCCTTCCTCGGGTTAAGGTTGGCAAATTGTTAACTATTCTCCCTTGTAGTCACAATCTGTCTATTTTTGTTGTTCTCCCATTGCACAACTTTTATTCCTTCAACAATTTTCACAAAATTCTTAACTTCGATTCCTTCCCGGGTCGTAAGCCACCTGCAACCAACCATCAACCAGAAGACAAGCCCCTGCTTTTTTTGTCTTCCAGGCCACTAAACGAAAGCTACCCCGCTGATTCGTTTTTCCCGCGCTGCTTGGATGGAATGCTTCCGCCAAAGGAAAAAAACTAGCCACCTGCTATTTTTGTCCTAGGCGAGGAAGAATCTTGTCGAAGATTCTTGATCTGTTGTCGAGGAAGTCTCTAACGCTTTATATTATGATCTCACAGCCCTTCTGCTCCCGATCGTACAACTCCTGATCACAAGACAGACTGCTCCCTTTGATTGTTGGGTCCTTATTGGATTTTTGCTCCGATACCAATTGTAAGACAGGACCAGATCAAAGCAAAGTAGAATATTTTATTGATATAAAATGTACAGGAATATTTGTGTTCTCTAAATATAAATAGAGATCAGACCAACATGACTTTTACTAACCAAAACAACTATTACAAACCAACACACCTATTAACAATAGAAACTACCCATAACTGCCTTTTAGAAACTGCCCAACTGCTTTTTTATTTAAATTAATTAAATATGTAAAACACACTAAATGACACCACACGAATTGACTCTATACTAACTGACCCGAACATTGACTCATTACCCATTCGGTTATATGTGAACAAACCCGATTAAATCTAACAGACTGCAGCGTGCAACTGACGGATATGGGTCTTCGTAAACTGCCCAGCACTCATGACCGATATAACTTACCTCATCCTAGCCAAAATCTTCTTAACACACAGTATCCTGAAGCCAACCTCCACTTTGCCCAAGCCACTCCAACACCATGCATAAAATCCCGTGCAACTCCCCATCCGTCTAAATGACTAAACCAATATACCAAAACTTGTCACCCTTGGGCTCTGGGGGAATCAATCCTAACTTTCACCTTTATTTCCATCACCCGGGTAGAGCTAGGTGAGCTGGAGCAGTCAAAGAGGCATCAAGACTTTGGGTATTGCTGAGAAGTGGGAGGGAGAGCCTAGGGGCTGGATGAGATTTCAGTGGAATTTTGGAAGTAGTGGGCAGCAGGGGGTTGGTTTGGATAACTAAGCTCTTCAAAGTTATTTTCAAGACGACTAGGATGCCTGGAAGGAGTGTGTTGGTCGTGATGCAACTCTACCATAAAACTAGAAAAACAACAATCTTAATTCTTTGGGTTTGGCTATCAACAAAATGAGTCATAGAATATTAAACTCTGAGAAATGTTAGTCCCTGGGTTAGTTGAAATGTTGAATCGAGATGTGACATGAAAGAATAGTATGCAAACAAAACCTCCAACATGATTATTTTTTATACCACTACAAAAAGGAGCATATATGTTGATTGAAAGTGGAATGTATCATACAGAGAATTGGACAAGTCTATGTCCATGTTGTTTAATTGTATATAGTAAAATACACCTTCTAGAGAGAATCTAGGCCATAGTCACATAGTGGCATACAAATGGTGTAGCACACTGAAGGGTTGCAAAACTTCATATAGAACCCTCAAGGAAAAATGTGCACGCAAATCTTGAGAATAAATACTCAGGTTAATCACCTGACGCCTATTGGACAAGAAGCCCGGACAATGATATTGTATCCTCCTACCAATGGAATCTGCTGCCTGCAGAAGTGCATGTGTTTGCTTTGTAGGGGAAACATGTAGTGTTTTTAGTTTCCCCTTCTTCAAGGAATTCCTTAGGGATGGTTGCCTATAAACTTTTTCGCACACAACTTTCGGGTGGAATCTTTTGCACCAGTATTCCTATAGAAATAAGATGAGATAAAAAGGTAAGGGGGAGGCTGAATGACTGTTAATAATAAACTAACAAAAATTAGGGAAAATGAAAATTAAATGTCAATTGGGCCACAATGGCGAATTAAAACTCCTCCGCTTCTTACTTTCTATGATGTTCGGGGTTTTGTTGTTGTCAATTGGGCCATAAAAGACCTTACATATATCCATGTATAACTGAGAAACTATTTTACACAACAACTAAGATCCTCACAGAACCAAAGTCCCAATATATAAATCTACAGTTAACTCTAAACAGGGAGCATATTGTGATAATTTATCTTGGACTAGTACGATAATAAAATTTTAAATTGTAAATACTGATTTAAATGGCATATAAAAAATGGGGAATGCTTAGAAAAGAAACAGAAGAGATGGTGCTGCCTGAACATGGCTCATAAAAAATACTCCCTCCATTCTTTATTACCGTGCACTCTTTCTCTTTCCTCTTATGACTGTTCCATATTAGTGTGGACAATTCCTTTATTTTTAAGGGCCCACATAATTCTCTCCTACACACCAACTTTTCCATTAACTCAAACCATTTCTATCCACATTAAACAACGCAACACAAATTTATACCTAACTTTTACTCTTAATCTACATGCAAGTCAAACTGTGTACTGTATTAAGGAATGGAGGGAGCATTATTTATCAAACAAAGAAAAGATACAGAGTAATCTGTAATCTTATCCATAAAAAACATAAACATGCTTAAGAATTCAACAGATTCAATATAAAACTACTCCCTCCATCTGGGAATTTTCTTCCCAGTTTTAAGCCTGTCCGAAAATTATCTTCCCATTTCCCTTTTTGGTAACCAATTTTAATGTGAAAGACCTAAATGCCCTACACTTTTTTAAAAAAATTCCCCACCCACCAGGCCACCAATATACGTACTAATCATCCATCTTTCATTTACGCATCCTCCCTCTTTAATTTCTCTAGATTTGTCTGTCTCTTTCGTTTTCCTTTTTTCCCAAGATTCTTCCATCTGCATTCTTCTCCCATGAAATACTGTTCGTCTTCCTCATGCTGTCGTCACCTCACCAAAAACCTAGCCACATGCTTTTTTCTCAGTTGAGACGTACCCTTTTTTCTGAATCTTTTTCAGGATCTGAAATAATTTGTCTTCGAATGGATTCAGAAGGGATCTTGTTTCTCTCTGCTATTCCTGAAACCCAAATGGAGTGTCAAGGGCTAAGTAGCAAAGAGGGAGGGGAATCCTCATGTGGTGGTTCAAGAATCTTTGGAAGGCTTCGAGGATGCAAAGGCGTGGAGGTGCAGTCAGGGCAAACTACGGAATTAGGGAGAAGATTCTCCGAAATTTTTATTCCTTGATGCCATCTGCATTTGTAATTTGATGTTTTTTTTAATCTGTAATAGAGTGCGGAGTAGTAGTGAGAAATCAGCCCCCCCCCATTGGACTTATCTTAGTTCAAAAGAGGAGCAAATACTCAAAATTTTTAAAGTATGCGTATTCTTGGAAAGTTGGCATTTTTTTCTACTCCTAAATAAGGGTGTCAAGTCAACACATAAAGAAAATTCCCAGACGGAGTGATTAGTATGCAAAGGAATAGCAATATTTGATATTTCACATACCTTAAATAGGGGATCAATATCTCCATCAATATCAAACCAACAAAACTCACTGTCGAGCTTTGAAACTGTATACAGTGCAATTTCTTTCTGCAAGATGAAATTTTAAAATAAAATTGGTAATAGAGATTAAAACAAAACAACCAGAAAGTACCACATACACAATCTAAGAGCAAGGATTAACATTCTGTAATAGAGTATAAGACCGCAAGTTTAATTGACTTTGTAGTCAAAAAGATTAACTTTAAAGTCAACTAAACTTGCGGGGTGCAATTGACATGGGTGGGGGGATGGGTTGGGGTCGGGACTGGGTGGGGGGGTTTACCCGGGGGGGTAGGAACCAGCAATTTTACGAATGGAGTACCGTAGGTGTAAAAAGAATTTAATTGGAGTAGTGGCTTCCGTGGCCACTAAAAAGCAGTGGCCATAGAACCGGCCCGATATTATAAAACAGAAGCATCAAAACTGCATGCTTGAGTATAAGACCGAGTAAAAAGAATTTTACAAAGAATCAACTACCTGATAGAAGGCCAGGCACTGAAGTACAAATTTTTCCCTTGAATCTAATTCCTGATCTAAAGCAGCATCATAATCTTTCACCTGCAGCATAAATAAAAATCAGGAAAAATGAATCCAAGACAAATGAATATAAAGGTTTTGGATCCTTAACCCAAAACAAGAAAACTTTCATACTGCATCTTTATATTCCCCAATGGCATGATAGCAAGAACCTCGCAAATACAAGAACTCAACATTTACACTATCAAGAGTTAGCCCCAGAGATAGATCCTCAATAGCCTGCCTGAAAATCAATGGATGCAATTAATCCATTAGTATACATTTTTGAATACCGAAAAAGTCTGTTCTTCAAACTCTTTTCTTCTAATTTTTGAAAAAAAAAGACCACGTTTGGAAAGGGAAAAAAATCTTTTGGAAACACTATTTCAAAAAAGGATAAAACAAAACATGTCAGCGAGTGTTTCAGCACAAAATATTCAAGCCCAATGCAAATTATATTGTACATCCGGATGTCCGTATATCCAATTCATTTTCTCCTTTATTAATGATATGATCATTATTCTTATAAAGGGTGCTCAGTTCCTCAAGTCTTTTCGTGTTTACATTTTTTATTCGGCTCATTTACCTTCTAACAAATGCTCATTTAAAAGCAAAGGAAACTCAATCTTCTTTTAAAGAATGCTCCAATGGAGATGATAGACGCATCATTATCGGGGTACATCCAGATGTATTATATACATCAATATAAGGATATAAAATGAATCATATGCCTACTGATAAGGTTGAGGCCTCCCTTTACTGATTAATAAAAGGGATGAACAATGTAAAAGATTATAAACAAAGTTAAGGGAATGATTGAACATCACAAATGATATCCTAGCTTCAACATAAACCAAAATTCTCTTTAAACCACCTTCAATAACTATTACTCCATATTTTCTCATAGAAGAGTCTAGGGATTACCACCTGTGGTCTCCGATGTCATGGAGAAGCAGCCCACGCATATGATATCCTTTAGAAAACCTAATCCCATTTGAAAAAAGGCCCGTAAGCTTTGAAGCCTTACATTAGGCATTTGATCATATCAGAATCTTAATTATTAATAGATCATAAGCACATTCAGATTTGAAAAACTAAATGCACAAATGTACCAGCATACCCCCCATTAATTTGCAGAAGTCGATGAAGGCATTCCAAAGCCTTCGCGGCATTCGCCAAATCTTGATAAAGCTGCCATAAAATACAGGAAATCAGCAATGCTGAAACAACTGGAGATAATACAACAGAGCCATATAACAATATTGATAAAAACGAACAAGATGTTCATATATGATTAAAAATCCAAGCCAATGCAATCGTCAATCACACAGAAAACTTTTGTAGTGCATGAACATTGTGATAGAATGTAGAAAGAAGCAAGAAATACTAATATGTAGATTCATTCACCTAGAAAACTGATTTCCTTTATTATACATCCAGATGTGCAGTTCGTTTGGCACATAGGCATTTATAAGTTACACAATACTTATTTCACACACTTATTCCTTTGCATTCACTTAGAGCATGCACACTTGTTATTATTATAATCACTATTATTATTATTATTACTATTATCATCATTATCATTATTATCATCATCAAAATTCATCATCATCATCAAAACGTTCTTTTGACATTGAGATTCGATGTCATATAATGACATGACATCGGGCACCCAAGGCGCTCCGTTCCGGAAAGTGGTTCCCCCCACTCTCCATTTTGTTGTTTGGCTAGAGTTTTACGGCAGCCAAACGGCGAAATAGAGAGGGGGGCAAGGGTATGGGGTGGAGGGCAGGAGGTAAGGGGATAAGGGGGTAGAAACCACTTTTGGGCCAAATGGAGCACCATAGGTGCCCCAAATGGACCAATGTCATAACATGACGTTTGGGGCCAATGTCAAAAGAACCTGACATTATTATTATTATTATTATTATTACTATTATTATTATTCTTGTTGTTGTATAAGATTGAACTTTCATAAATATTGCATACCTGAGCTAAATGAACCCAAGCCTCCAAAAAGTTAGGGTCTATGTGAATTGCCTCCATGTGTGCGTCCTCCGCCTTTTTATATTCACCAATTGAAGCTAATGCTAAGCCCTATAAAAGTTTACATTCATTAAAAATTTAAAAGCAACAAACTGTCATGCATCTCCAAAGAGATGCATGGAAACTTAATAGGTTCTACCAGGAATAGTATTTAGCAGATATTTTAGACGCACCAAATAAGTGTGTGCAGATTTGTTACCCTTATCAAGCTTTACACAGGAGGAAAGGTCTTCAACAGCAGCTTTGAAATCTTTGAACTTAAAGTACACCATTCCTGCAAAAAATTCAATTGCCACATTGCACATATATTCAAAACCTGGAGTACTTGTGTGGTTGTTCCATGATAAGAATGGGATATACTCTCATTAAATGTTGTGTAATGTCAGCCGGCATGATGGTGATGATGATGATGATGATGATGATAAGAACAATATTAATAATGAGTAGTAGTTACAACAACAACAACAATAAGAATAATAATTTGAAGGATATGGAGGGTCTTCCGAAAAGAACCTCTCTACCTTTTCTAGGTGGGGTAAGGTCTGTATATACCAACCCTCTCTAGACACCACTCTTTTAAGTGGGACTCTATTGGGTATGTTGTTTGAAGTGATCATGTGAAGGATATGGAGGTCGAAAAATAAAAATAAAAATAAAAATAAAATATAACATGGACATACCCAACTGTGCAATATAGTTTACAAAAAGAATAGAACATAAAGGTCTCTCAAACATTCGTACAATTGAAACGAAACCTAAGATACCCAAGAATGCAAATTTCATTATGCAATTGTGATATAAGACAAGGAAATTACCCTTTTCATGTAATATATCAGCTGAGTTTGGCTCGAGTTCCAAAGCTTTAGTCAAATCTGCAACTGCCTGACATTAAAGATAATGACATATCTCATGAAAAGTATTTAAGACTTCTGCATTTAATATGGTCCTCAATCACAAAATCGTTCTTTTTAACCACCACTATGTCCTTAATGGGGAGAGGACTATGGTATCTTGATATTCTGATAAGAATCTCACCTCAGCAGATTCCCCAAGTGCAGCACGGGCCTGTCCTCTGCGTTTCCATGCTTCAGCGGCCGATGGATTTGAGTCTATGGCCTGCCGGAACAGCAAAAAAGTCATAATCATGGATTTGGCAATTGTTCTGCATAGCAGTTAAACAGCTGAAGATGTACATACCATTGTAAAATCAGAAATAGCTGCATCAAGTTCTCTCTTAAATGCATATGCTGTGCCCCTTCCTATTAATGCCTCAGGGTATGTTGGATGCTCTTCCAGAATCTGTGTGGAATATATAGGTGAACATTTATAGATATTAGAGAATAGCTCGGCATGCCAAATATGTATCTTCTTTCAAATTAAAAAGCTACATAAAATAGGAGTAAATTACCAAAATAGTCCTCTCAAATGAGGTGTTTTCCCAAATCAGTCCTTAATAAGTTTTAATTATCTATGTGGTCCTCTATAATTGAGATTTATTCCCTAGATCCTTCGTAAATACTGTTACTCAAATGATGATTACTTAGGGTTATTTTTGGCATTTTTATCAGCTAAGTTTCGAATAAGTTCTTAAAATGATCATTTCAAATGAAGTGCTTTCCTAAAATGGTTTTTCTAATTAAAGATGTGTATTTGATTCAAATTTTAAGAGATTTTTATAGGTTTTTTAATAATTCATGGATTATGTAGTCAATGTATTTTTTTTAATTTTACATTTAATTGTATAGAATTTACCATTTTGAGAATATACTTTAAATTTAAATGATAGAAATACCAAAATACCCTTAAATTAATCATCATTTGAGTAACATTATTTACGAAGGACTACGGACTACCCGAGGAATAAATCTCAATTATAAAGGACCACGTAGGTAATTATAACTTATTGAGGACTGCTTTGGGAAAACATCTTATTAGAGAGGACCATTTTGAGAATTTACTCTAAAAATAGTTAGTGTATAACAACAACAACAACTCAGTTGGATCCCACAAGACTACGAGAGTAGGGTCTCAGGAAAGTTAGTGTATAAAGATACGTAAATCCAAATTAGCAGTACGAACAGCAGTACAGTGAATATCAACCTGATCAAAGATGGATATAGCATCTGCAAATCTTCCTTCATTAACCTGAAATGCACAGAAAATACATACTTTTACCTTCACAGTAAGATGGAATCATTGGAAAAGGTTATGTAACTCAATTAGAACTCTTTGGCAACTCATATCAATCCTTAATATTTCTATTTGGGTCTTTTACATGGACTATAATCTTAATTCACTACACTTGTCACTTAACCTTATATATGGTGTGTACCTGTTCTCCCTTGGATTAACTTATCTCTTATAATTACTTCACCCAAAGTTTGAATCTCCCCTTACCTCTCTTATATCCTATGACAGTCGTGTTATGAATTGTAGCATCAGCATTCATTAGCAAAGAAATGAAAGTTTTCCTTATAGACTTCAAAAACAATGTTACATGTCTCTTTGTGTACCAACACTTCTCACTTAAATCCTTACAAGTTTTAGGATTGTAATGAACAACATGGAAAAGAACCCAATAGAGTTTGAATAGTAATTCAAAGAGAGTATTTTTTGTAATGAAGTCATTACCTAACTTATTTCTAGCATGTTGATGAAGTAACCAATCATTGAGTCAACAAAAATGGCAAACAGCATTGAATGGAATCATAGTATTAGTAAATTGGAAATGTTATCGGGACTCCAAATTCTGTTATATGCATTCTAAAATACCTGAGCTATCGCACTTGATAATCGTAAATCCAAAGTTACTGATTTTGTCTTCAAAGTCTTGCTGACACAGGATTTTCTACCTCTCTTATTGTCATCACCTATTTTAATACGAACGCCACATTTATTATTCAAATGGCGCAAAATCTCTGATAGTTCAATAGCCTCTGATGAGTCACTTGATTCATTAGTTTCTAATGATGATCCACTGCATTCTTCACATGTATGATTTAAGTCGCCACATACTGCAGAATGAGAACCCAATTTGACATGAATATCACAGGTTCCATTTTCTTTTTTGTGGAGATCTCCATTTGGTAGGATATTGGACGTGCTATATTCTCTTGCCTTATTATGACTCTTATTTGATTGAAAACAGTCATTGCTACTATCTTTCAATGTTGTATATGTCTCCATTTCCTTTCGGAATGGTTCCAGATGATCAGTTAACCTATGGTTCTTACAAGAATCAACAATATTGTTAGAAAGGAGAATCCCAGAGCCAGATCCAGACAGCTGTGTGAAACCATCATCGCCTAAAATGGAATTACTTCTTTTAGCAATAGTCAAAAGCTCTTCTATCTCCAATAGCTGTTTCAAGTCAGCACACTGTTGAACAGCACGTTCATATCCTTGCTCCCAAACCAATATAGCCTCCACTCTCTTACCCATCGCAGATAAAGCACGGCCTACATGCAAATATGAAGCATCAAAATTGATGATGTTTCTCTGGAGGACTGGAGATTGAAAATTTATAAACTGGAAAAAATGTTTATCAAAAAAAGGAACCAATTTTATTTTGGGTTTTGCTAAATCCACACCTTTTATCAAAAATGGACAAATTTATCCTTAAATTGAAAAATAATAAAAGGCAACATGTGGACTAACCTAAGGGAAAATTTGGACATTTGTCATTAATGGGGTGGACTTAGCAATACCCTTTTATTTTTCCAATTCTGTTACTAAATTAGTATGCTGTGTTATTCATTTTATCATCAGGAAATCAGCAGTCTCCATTCCAGATAAATCTAAATACAGCACAGCAGTTCACTTTTCTTCTAAATTCAAGTAGAAGATGAACCTCACAAACAGTACCATATATTAAGTTCCTTAGTCAACAAAAGCAATCAGTCTTCTCGGCAGCAACAGAATCAGGCAATACATATGATACGGAATGAGATACACCACACGAAACAAAAAACTACAAATCTGCACTCTTTGCATGTCTGATTGTCCAGCCTTATTTCCAGCAACTCCACAGACAGGACTCAATGAAGAATGGCCTACCAGATATGGCGTTGAGAGTTTGAGACCTTGCTTTACTAAATGAATGAATTATTTTTCAAATCTCTCTAAGATGGCAAGATTGCATGGTGAAAGGAGTTGAACAATGAGCAGTCTAACAGCCAAAAGTTGGGTTTGGATTCCAGAATTTATCATATTCATGCATGGAATAATTGAAACTTCCCCTTTCCATGCCTCATATTTCATATATCTTAGTAGATTTTCCAATCAACACAAAGAAACATTAAAACAAACGTTACTTAATGCTCAATCAGTCCCATCACTGATCCAGGTAGCTTAGTACCACAACGGGGGAAGAACATTACAGATTTTTAGAAAAAGTAATGATACCTATAAATCTTCAAAGCTGGTTGCAAAGATCTCGATTTTCAAAAAGCTTGTCTAAAACAACTATCTACGTTTCTCAAATTGTTGCATTTGATCAGTTAAATCACCCAATACAACATAAGGGAACATTAATTTACAAAAACAGAAGACAATTAAGAACCTTTGAGCGTGTAAGGTTGTAGTACGGAAGAATCCAGCTGAATGGCCTTATCACAATCCTTGATAACATGCTTGTGAAGCTCCAGTTGACTATAGCAAAAGGCTCTATTGCTAGAAAAAAAATATATCAACTCGCTACATTTCAATTCAGAGATGAGTTTAATAAGACATGGAGTTGATATGGTAAAGGTGAATTGGAGTGAACAAAGAAAATGAGAAATGAGAAGCTTAACAAACCAGATGTCTTGGATGCGGTGGCTACTGGAAAGAAGAGAATCGAGAACTCGAATTGCCTTTGACCAATCCTTAGCGCTGCACAGCTTCGCCAGTTCGATTCTGTCGGCCACAGTCGACGCCATCGGAAAACGAGTGTAGAAAGGCCGACCAGACGGAAATGCAATTGACAGCAGATTTTGTAGCAGATTTTGTAAGCAATAATAACTGGCCTTAAACAACGAAATTCTTTCCTTTTCACATTATAACAACAATATGAACTCTTGTTATTATAATGAAAAAATATAAATACGATTTAAAAAATAAATATAATATTTTTCATTTAATTTAAATAGAATTTTAGGACCATGCTACATATATTAATTCTTTATCTTACTTCCATATTTAAAAATTACATACTTAAATTAATAAGTTGCAAAGGTTTATTGTGGAAATTCGTGTATAATAAGAGTGAAAATATATCTTCACTAAAAAAAATTAATTCACGATGATGAGATTAAATTTAAATATATTCATCAAAAAAACACCCAATATTTACCTTAAAATAGGAAAATCTTTGTATTGTTATGTGTTGATGTTTGATGTGAATAGTGGAAAAAAATAGATTGATCATATCGATAGTCAACACCTTAAAAATAATCTAAATTTTACATGAATTTAGATTTGGTTCGGAATACCTGATAATATTTCTTATGTGGTGATGTTTTATGTGAATTGTGGAAAAAAATGTGTGGTTCGTATTTATAATTTGTTTATAATGGGTATTACACGTACAGATGGAGAGGCATCGTCATCAAGTACAATGCCGCACTTTCAAACACAAAGAAGAAGGAATGTACTTTGTGATCTGACAAATGTTATTTATAAATTTCGAATAAAAAATTTAATTAATCCATTTTTTAATTTTTGGAGGGGTTACTTATGAAGTAAAATGTCACGGAATGTAATTTTAACAATTTTAAAATTTTATCTGTACAGTTGGAAAATCAAAATGGCAAGCAACAACTGTTGTTAGGGGTGAACCGGGGGTCTTATCAAGTTGGAAAGTTGATGGGGAATTGGTAAAGGAAATGAATGGGCAGTGTTATAGGCCGAGTTGGTGAGGGATGAAAAGGGGAGGTATGGGTGTTCTCTTGGCTTGAGAATGCAAAGGAAAATGCAGGAGATATGTTCAAAGAGGCCTGGGTGAAATGATGATATATGCAGAAGGAGTTCTTTTTGGTATTTTTGGATGAAAGAAAAGAATTAAGTTTAAGAAGAAGAAATGGAGAGATATGAAATGGGAAGAGGTAAAATGAAGGGATAAACCATAATATATATCCGGGAGCAGGCCCGAAGACCGTCCGTAGCCCGCCAGGGGAAAGACGGATCAGGGGAATAAAGCCCAAGTGTGATGACATTAATTGGGTTGAAACTTCTCCATTTTCCTGTCTTAGAACCCAACCCAACACCATGGTTGTCCTACACCCACCCTAGGCTGAGCCCACACTCCCCATACCTTCCCTAAACATCCAAAATATTTCCTTTTCAAAATAAAGTTTTTCCTACTCTTATTTTAGCCATGGCCGAAAATAAGAGTGTATAAACCAAAACCTTTTCGTTTGTTGTTATTTTCCTTCTTTTAAGCCTTTTAATAAACCAGTAAAACCCTCTCTTCCTTCCTTTCATTCCCTGCCCAAATAAACCTCACAATCCCAACACAACACCCACAAAGAGCCAAAACCATGACCCACCTCCAGCCCCTACTTCCTGCCCATGTTTTCCCTCACAGTAACCCAAAGCCATAACTCCAAAATACCCATAAATAATACCCAGCCCTGTCCCCTTTTAATGACCAAAAACAACCCCTCTTTTATTCCCCAACATTGACCAACCATTGTCCCCCTTGTGTCTCCCACCTAGGCTGAATAAACAATAACAAAAGGACAAAAGACTTTTGTGAGTTTATTGACACTCCACCCACCAAATCAGTCCCCACATACCTTCCATGAATGACCCAATATAAGTCCAATAAAACCAACCATCACCCATCCCCTTTGTCCCCCATTATTTCCCAAGAATCATCACTTATTTCCTTGTGATTTTCCTCACTAAAGGACAAGCCACCAGCCATGAAAATCAAAGACCAAATCCCTGATTTCATTCCATTAAGAAAACATAAACAAATGGATATTATTCTTGTGATTTCTGAGTGGATATTTCTGGGAAGTTTCCCCCCTATGTG